GAAAGTATAGTTACCTTCATTCCTTCAGTTTTCCCAATTACTATTAAAATATGAGAAATAAAATTAAATCAAGAAAACTGGCCAAAAAAATTAAATTAGGAAAACATATATATATATATATATATGTAATTCAGAAACGAGTTAATTTTTTTAGCTTATAAAATTGTACATAATCTAATAATATGTATAGTAATTTTTTTTTGAATAATGCAGAAGCCCATTTTATTGGTTACTCAGACCAGAACGCGGGTAATTAAATAATTTTTATTAGTTAATTAAGTCAATAGTTTAAAAAACAGTTTCAACACTCTTTAGAAAACATGACACGCAAATAATTCTCCTCAACCGTACGACGTGTTCCTCCCTCCTAATAATGATAATACTCTGAACCGCAGAGTGTCTGAACCAAACTGCATTCACTTGACGCCGCTTTGCAGACCCTCCTCCCAACCAAAAGCTTCAGCTCTGCTTCTTCTCTATAGTTTCACAAATTTTCTACTTTCTCCCTTCTACCAATTTCTACTGGTTCCTCAGCTTCTTTTTTCACTTCATCATCAGTTTCCTTTGTGTTATATATTTTCTCTTTCTGATTTTCTTTCTCCTTTCTCCTTTCTCTTTACCCGACCAAAAAAAAAACAACAGAGGAAAAAAAATCCTGAATTTACTGCTCTTGCAACTTTCGCTTGCACTCGAGTCTTCTTTCATAGTTTCACTTTTCATATCACTCCCTGCTAGTTCCTTCTTTGTTATTGCTTAATTTCTCAGCTTGTTCTTTAACGTATTTTTGGCGCTTTATGTTGCTTGAATTCCTTATTTCTGTTTTCTAACCAATCTCTGATCATTTTTAACTTTATTTATTTTCAAGAAGAAAAAATCCCAAAAATAATTTAAAAAAAACCTGCTCTTTCAATTTGTGACGGTCGTACATCTGCAAAAAAAAAAAAAAAAAGAGACTAGTTTAGTTGATGTTGTTTTTCCTGTTTGGCTTCACACATTCATCATCTTTCTTCGAAAACTTTCAGATTTTATAGTTGTCTTCAATTCTTGTGAAGCATCTGCTTCGTCTAGAAGTTGTTCAAAACACCATAAAAAAGAGGTCTCTCACGGTTTGATCTGTGTTGGAACACTGAGGAAAGCTGATTACTGTTGGGAGATCTGAGGTTTATATGCTTTGAAATTGCAAAGTTTCACATCAGCCACTACTGTAAGTTCAAAAATATAGATTTATGCCAAAGTCAGTCTGTGTTTAGTTTATCTGTACTTACAAAGTGCAATTTGTGTTTCAACTTTGCAGCATATCTTTGTGTTTCTGAATATAGAGAGCAACCAAGAAGAAGAAGAAGAAACTTATTCTAGCCATAGTGCAGATACTTAGGTTTGGCTGTCTTATTTTAATATTTGAATATTTTCTTTAAAGCTCTCATTTCAATATAAGCGTGGCTTCCTCAGCTTTACGTTCTGTTGGTTTCGAAGATACCCTCTCGTATTTTTTTAAGTAAAATATAAGGATTTTTCCAACAAAAGATATATATAAGGTTTCCTTCTAAATACTACCTTCTGTCTTAGTTGCTCATTTATAATCTATCAACGGGATTTTATAATTAGAATCTGAGATAGTATATATACAGAGACTAATTAATTATTATTTTTTTAAAAAAAGTATATTTTACCCTTCCTTTAATACTTTCGTAAGTTTGTTCCCCGTTCGCGTCTGATTAAATTGCCATGTGCTGATATTTGAAATGAAGTATTGAGAATAAACTTTTATTGCTATCGCTATAATGAATTGGACTTAAGAAAACAATATATTAATTGCAAGTTATAAATACATCATCTCAAACTTAAATCAGGATTTTTTTAACAGTTTCAACAAAATCCTTGAAATGTTATATGAATTGAGAGCGTAAAATGGATTTCATGAAATTCGGATGAAACTTGATGAAATGATGAAATAAATGAGAGAGAGAATTTAAAATTTAAAATTTTAAAATGAGGACTTGAGGTTATTGCAGGGGAAGTTGAGAGATTAGAACGGAGAGAGCGGAAAAGAAGATCAAGAGATGAACTGGGGGGGAAAAATTAAGATAACGAGAGACAAGGATAAGGGGTACAGAAAAGCGGGGTTCAATGCTTACAAATAGTTAAGCTCAGACCCAAAAAAGCTGGGTGGAGTGAAAGAGATTAACTCCTCACAACATGATGAACTAAAGTTCAAATTCTTATTAAAAGAGGTGCCTATTTTTACCTCTAATAGATGGGTGCCTGTGCTTTAGCTAAAAGGAGTAGCTAGTACTACTTTTAGATTTCTCATTTTTCTTCCTCGACGTTTTGAGATCAGAAAATAGATTAGCTCGTCCAACGTTTTGGCCCAGTTTTTCCCTCCTAAAGTACCAAGTAAAAAGTCAATCAATGTCTAGAGTATTTTTTTTATTGTATCTTAAAATAATTTTTTATGCCATTATTGTACGAGATATAAATAATTAAAATGAATTATATTTTAAGAAAATTAGCACACATTTCTTTACATGTAACCAACTCGCCTAATCTTTTTATTCCATGTGAATTATCTTAAAAAGATCGTAGCGAAGCAACAATTTGTGATTTTATCCATTCTTTTCTATGTTTCTCCTTAAGAGAGGGGGGGGGGGGCAAACGAAGGGAATAACAATGAAGTCCTGACCCCTAGTCTTTGAGGCAACCTCGTGGAGGCGGGTTACTGATATGCTTGTGTTTAAATCCTCAAGCAACTGGCCACTGTCTTGTGCTTCAACTCAATCTTTGAAAAAATGCCTTTACTGAACTCATTACTCCTTTTATTGGCACTTTTTATTAATATCTACTTTATTTTCATTTGTTCTCGTTGTCTTAGCTTCTTTCATAATTTCACAGCTTTCCTTACTTCTTCTGTGTTTCTTGATTTCTCAACTTCTTGTTTTTGTATTGAAACACTAGGGAAAGCTTATTACTGTTGTATATCGGAGGTTTATAGACATTCAGATTGCAAAATTTCACATTGTTTATTGTTAGTTCAAAATATACATATTTATTCCAATACTTCTGAACAACACAAGATTAATTGAGTTTTGGCTATATCCTTTTAACAGAGCACAAATTAGATGGATATTACTTGCGGAACATTGAGCAGTTTTGTTGACAAGTTCTGGGACCTAGTGCTGGACCCAACTTGCGAGCAGTTTCATCATCTGTTTCACTATCACAAAAATATTACGCAGCTCAATGAACGACTTGTGGAACTCATCGATGAAAGAAGCTCCATAAGACATCAAATAGATGAGGCTACAAACAACGCAGAACAAATTGAAGACAAGGTTCTTCATTGGTTGAGCAAAGTAGATGAGATTTCAGAGCAAATTCAAAAGTTTCATGAAGAAGAGAGTCAAGCAAAAACAGAGTGTAGCGTAACTTCATGTCCCAACCCGTGGCTACGCTATAAACTAAGCAAAAGAGCAAAGGCAATGGCACAAGAAGTTGTTGAAATTTGTGGAAAGGGAAACTTCAATACGGTTTCATATCGCGTTCCTCCACCGTCCATGCCGGAATTATTCAACAGAGAAAGCAATGCAGGGATTGGTTCAAGAGTGCAAATTGTGAATCAAATTATAGAGGAATTACGGAATCCAAGTGTTAATATGATTGGATTGTGCGGGCTTGGTGGTGTTGGCAAGACCACTATAGCTAAAGAGGTAGTAAAAAGTCAAAACATGTTTGAAAAGGTGGTCTTGGCAATTGTTTCTCAAGAACTGAATGTTGAGAAGATTCAAGGCCAGATTGCTGAGAAGCTGGGTATGCAACTCAATGAAAAAACTGAAGAAGTAAGAGCTTGTCGTCTGCGTGAGAGGTTGAAGCAAGAGAAGAATATGCTCTTGATATTGGATGATCTTTGGGAGGAACTTGATTTGGGCAAAATTGGAATTCCCTTTTTTGATGTTGAGAATTATAACAAAAAGAATGAAGGTTGCAAAATTTTACTAACTTCAAGGAACGAAACGCTACTGTCAAACCGCATGAAATGTCAAAAAACTATCAGAGTGGGTTTTTTGTCAGAGGATGAAGCATGGGAGTTGTTCAAGAGGATTGCTGAATTGTCTGTTGACTCAAGTAGTCCTGACCTGATATCTATAGCCAATGCGATTGTTCAAAAGTGTGGAGGCTTGCCACTAGCAATTGCTACAGCTGCCAAAGAATTGCCAGGAAAAAGTCTAGATGACTGGAAAGATTACCTTGCCCGATTAAATAATCCTTTAAGGAGAAACATCACAGGAATTAGAGTGGTAGATACTATTTTGATATCGAGCTACGATCGTCTAAGCTCATCAGAGTACAAGCATATTTTCTTGCTCGGTGCCATGTTGTCCCATGATCCCTCAATCGAAGACCTTCTCATGCACTCTATGGGGTTAGGTTTTCTTAAACACATAGCAAACATGGAAGATGCCCACAATGGAATCCGTGCTATTGTAAGCAAGCTAAAATCATCAAACTTATTTCTTGATAGCTTTTCTAGTAATTGTTTTACAATACATGACGTCTTTCGAGATATTGCATTATCAATTGCATCCGATGAATTACATGCATTCATTGTGAGGCATGGAAAGTTGACAGAATGGCCGGACAAAAATATACAAGAAGGCTATAAAGGAATTTGCTTACGACCAAGTGAAATTAGTGAACTTCCAGAAGAGTTGTATTGTCCAAGATTAGAATTCTTTTTGCTTCATAGCACAAAACATGATTTGACCATACCTAGCATGTTTTTCAAATCTTCTAAGGAGCTGAAACTATTGGCGTTTAGAAATGTGCATTTTGCGTCACTACCATCGCTTAGTTTTTTGATAAAACTAAAAACATTTTGTTTGCACTCATGTTTGTTAGAAGATATAAGTGAGGTTAGAAGCTTGAAGAATCTAAAAGTCCTAAGTTTTGCTTACTCTAATATTGAAGTGCTGCCAGTTCAATTAGCAGAATTGACTTCTTTACAAATGTTGAATTTGGCCCATTGCTCCAATCTCAAAGTGATTCCCCCGAAACTTCTACGTAGCTTGAAAAAATTGGAAGTGTTGTACCTGAGAAACAGCTTTAACCAGTGGAAAATTGAAGGATCTAGTGAAGCTAATGAAAATGCAAGTCTTGATGAGTTGAAGGATTTGCCCATCTCTTCTCTCGATGTTCATATTCCTAATGTCTCCATGTTGCCAGAGACTTTGTTCTTAGATATGAATTTGAAGAGATACAAAATACTCATTGGGAAGCACTGGGAATGGTGGGCGGTCAGCTATGAAAGTTCAAAGGTATTGAAACTTGAGCTTGAAAGTAATATCCATTTGGACCTTGGGGTTCGAAAGTTGATGAAAGGAGCTGAAGATTTGTGTTTATATGGATCTAATGCGCTTGAAGATTTTCTACACGGTCATGATGGAAGATCATTTCCGCATTTAAGGCATCTTCAGATTGAAAGTAACGATACTATTCCATCCATTGTTTTGAACTCAGCACATCATGAAGCAGCAACAAACAACAAATCCAATAAAATGTCTGAGTCACTTTTGAACAAGGTATGTTCAGATTATTTTATTCACATTTTTTCTTATTTTATCTTCCTAAAAAACTTGGCTTCAAACTTATATGCAAAAATCATTTTCACCAGAATTACTTGCTTTGCTGTTAGGCTATTATGAAAGGTTGTAGTTTTCTATTTTTTTAATGACTTAAAATTAGCTAATGAAAGAGAAAAGCTAACTCCAACTATTATAATAAATAATAAAACCTCAAATTATTCGTCAACCTAAAATCACGTTAATTTGATATTTTTGAAAATTGTCCCCATCACTAAAATATCTAAGAATGCAGTTCGTGGTTTTCATAACTAATCATTGTAATAAAACTTTGGAATCTCTTTTCAACAATATGGTATTTTCATTGTGTTTTAGCTGTTCTTATTTTTTTTTTTGTTTTAACTTTTCGACAAAACTTCAAACATAGTTACCTGCAAAAAGTAATTTTTACTAGAATTATTTACTTTGCTATCAGTCTATTATGGCATTTTTCAAATTTGTTTTTCTTATTTTGTTCTTAATTTTGGCAATTGCATTTTACAGTTTTTTTTATTTTTCAATTACTTTATTTTTTTACCTTGAATTTTCAGATTGAACTTTCAGCAATCTCTTGAATTATATTGTGGTGGTTGAGAGTTTTATCTAGACATTTAAACAATCTTTCATGAAAAGTAAGCTTACGAACTAAAAGTGATTTTCATTTAATCATATTTTCTGTGAACTGCAGGTGTTGCTTTCAAAGTTAGAGATATTGCGATTATCTAATTCAATCGATTTGATTCCAATGATATGGGATGACCAACTTTCACACAGCTCATTTAGGAACTTGAAAACATTGTTTGTGAAAAATTGTGGCTTTGTGAAATTGCTGCCCCCTCGTGTGCTGAAATCTTTAAATAACTTGGAAGAACTAGAAGTTAGGAACTGTGACATGTTGGAGTTGGTGTTTGATTTTGAAGACTTGAATGATTACAAAGAGGCGGAGCCATCATCAGTGATTGTGCCACTGAAAAGGTTAACACTAGGTGGATTGCGAAAATTGAAGAATGTGTGGAGCAATCACTGTGAAGTAGATGTCTCCTTCCCAAGTCTAAGGCGCGTGGATGTTTCGTATTGTGAAAGCCTCACAAGTCTGTTTCCTGCATCTATAGCCAAAGGCATGCTTCGTGATCTTGAAGAGCTTCGAATAAGTGATTGTGGTATAGAGGTGATTGTTGCAAAAGATCAAGTTTCAGAACCTGTTGCTTCTACGTTTGTGTTTTCTAGGCTGACTTCCCTTGCGCTTTTTTCGCTTCAAAATTTGAAGAACTTCTATCCACAGAGACACACATTAGAATGGCCATGCCTTCAACGGTTATCTGTTACAAATTGTGGTGAATTAGAGATATTTGAAAAGGAAGTTTCAAGTTCAATAGAAGTACATGAGGAAGAGAGCACATTAGGCTCAAAATATCCTCTACTATACCATGACAAGGTACATATCTAAATTGGTCGTTCATGTGTTATTTATTTTAAAAATAAGGTAATAAAAGAGCAAAAAACAACTGTAAGCATTAAAATAAATAATGAAACATATTTTGCTTAACAGCCTAAGAGGCCACTTGAATTTGATATTTTTGAGTACTTACATATGCGAATTATTCCTGTCAAAACATTTTTTAGAATATAATGTAGTTTAGGATTAATTTGATGATTGACTTAAACAGATAAAAAAGGAATAATTCATAATCATTATTTTAATTAATTGATAGATACTAGAATTAATTAAATATTTTTTCTGTTAAAAAAAAGTGGGACTCCCATCCTCAGCTTTCCATCTTCACCGGAAAGAGGTGTGTCATTTTTTTTTCCGGAATAAAAGAGGGGCGTCATTTAATCAAGGGAGGGGATTTTTTCTTTTAACATTTTCAAGACATTACAAGCTTTAATTTGATATTTATTTATTTAAAACAAAGTAAGGGAGGAATAACGGTTGTGTGTGATAATCAAAAATTGAAATTCTAGGCTAGAAATTTATATTCATTTTAATGTATCATAATTATTATTTGTAGTTACAAAATAGACGTGCGTCAAAATTGTGGATGCATCAAATTTAAATTTGAAGATATCCTCCTAAAAAAATGCACACGGCTGGATTTTGACGCATTGATTAGTTGTTACATTTAGTTATGATTTATGTATTGTACAGGTCACTCATAATTTGGAGGAGTTGACATTGTGGGGTAAAGGAGTTGAGAAGATAGGGAGTGGCCAACTTTTAATGTACCGCTTCCCCAAAGTAAGACTGCTTCATCTAGATGTTGGTTATAAAGCAAGGACTATTTCATACAAATTGTTGAAGAGCTTTCCAAATTTAGAGGAGCTGACACTGGGGGGGTCACATTAAGAAGGCTTCTGGAGGGGATGATGTTCCTCTTCCAATAAAATTGACTCTCCAGTTTATTGACGGTATCACAAGCTTGGTACCACTCTTAGTTTCTTCGCCAAATGTCACACATCTCCGCGTGGAATCTTGTTATCAGTTGACCACTTTGATGACGTCATCAGTTGCTCGAAGCTTGGTCCATCTCACAAGTCTCTCAATTAGTAGGTGCTCTAACATAAAGGAAATTATATGGAAGCAGGAAGGAGAGGATGATGACGATGAGGAAGTCGTTTTCAGCAAGTTGCAGCATTTGAAAGTTGAACGGTTACCAGAATTGAAGAGATTTTGCCACTTCAAGTACACTTTCAGATTTCCACTATTGGATAAACTGATCATAATGGACTGTTCGAAATTCAGAGCATTCTCTCCTGGACTCATTGATGCACCCTCTCTTAAAAGTGTTCTACTGTCACAAGATGGGCTTGGAGAACATCATGAAATTTGGGACACCAATCTTAACAAAACATTATTATACCAACAGGTACGTCCAGAATGCCCCATTCTTCCTATTTCCAGCTTTTACAAAAATATGAATCTATAAATGTTCCATTGTTATGATATTTAATATAAATATACCTATACATGTTTCGGTTTTGAAGTTTCTACTAAAATTTTAGTTATCATTTCTTAATTACAAAACATCCCAAAAACATCCCAAACAATTCCATCATAATTAATTAATTAATGGGATACACAGCGAAATGTTTTAATAAGAAATGAATTTTTTTCCCACATATACCCTTAGTTATGGGGGAAAAATAAGAGAGAAAATAGAGTAATAATGAGAAAAAAAATGAAAGGTAAGATAATATAGCAAGTTGTCAGCCTTTTAATTAATGCAATGTATAAAATTAATTAGAGACAAAAAAGATAAAAACACATTGAATGTTCAGACAAATCCAAGTTAGCTCTTATAAAAAAAACTAAGACCATTCAAATTTCAAATTTTTATAAAAAGAACTGGAGGGAGCAGTTATCATTTTTCAATTACATAACTTTAATTATAAAATATCCCAAACAATTACGTCCTAATTTAATGATTAATGTGATACACAGTGAAATGTGTCGGCATTATTGTTTTTTGTCGTGGCTGATATAATTATTCCTAATTTAATGATTAATGTGATACACAGTGAAATGTGTCGGCATTATTGTTTTTTGTCGTGGCTGATATAATTATTTCTTTTCCAAGATTAATTATGAAAAATAAATGAAATCAAAATGTTTCGCACTTCTAGTGAGCGCATTTGATCTTGGGACACAATAAAAAACAAAATAATATTACTAATTCAATTACAAGTTGCGACATAATTAATAAATTAATATTACCATGCTTCTGACTCAATATCTGTTTTACAGAGATTTATGGCATCAAGAGAGGTGGTGTTAGATGAGTATGATGTTAGCATGATAAGGAATGACCAATTTCCAGCGAACAGTTGTCCTGAAGTGGAAATTCTGGGCATAGAAGGATTTGATTATGAAGGGGTAACATTTCCGTATACATTGCTTGAAAGATTTCCACGGTTGACTAAGCTTCATGTTAAGGATAGCTCTTTCAAGGAGATATTCCCATCACACATTGTTCATCAAATTCAGCAACTTCATAATTTGACAGTGTTGAAGGTATCCCGATGTCATCGGCTCATCTATTTAATGACAAATTCAGCAGCCAAAAGTTTGGTGAATCTTGAAACGTTGGAAATAGATGATTGCAAAAAGATGGAGAAAATTGTAAAGAATGAGAATAATGACGATGTGGAAGGTGGAATCACGTTCAGTGCGTTGAGAATATTAGAACTCAGTAGTTTACCAAGATTGAAAGCAGAAGAACGTAAAACGGATTTCAACATTGAAGACCCAGCAACAAATAATCATAAGGTATGTTCAAATCAATTTACAGTAAAATATACTAACTAGCCTTATGTTTTACCTAAGTTATAGAAACCTTCCCTTTATTTTAAAAATATATATATAACTCCCTTAAAATTAAAATGTATGTTGTACAAACCTCCCTTGTATACTTGATTTGAAATTCCATTTCCATATTTCCAACCGTAAGGTTACACTTAAGTTTGACCTTTAAACTTTTATTTTGACCAAAATACCCCTCATTCACATAAAAGTTATTTAAACATTCATTTTTTTTTGCGAAAATAATTTCTAATACCACAAAAAATAATTTTCATACATGTATTTTCAGACTTTTTAAAATGTAATAAAATTTTTTAATTTTAATTCTATTGTAAAATTTTATAATTTTAATTGTTTGTCACGCATATTGAAATTAATTTTTTAGGTTTCTTTAAATGGCTAAGAAATATGTTGAATACATATTCTTTTCGTCATATAATATAGATTATCTAAGTTTGATAGATTATAGAAATTACTTATGGTCTAATATTTTTAAACAAATGAGAAATATTTATAACTTATTTAGTCAATTATATATTTATTTAAAGAATTAACCAAATTTCCACTCACTAAATTACTTATTTTCCATCCTAATATGATAAAAACGTTGAACAAATAACTAGCTGCAAACGGTGAAAAAAAAAATTAAGGAAAAGAAAACATTTTAAATTTTTCAAAACTTTTTGGCCAAAATTTAAGAATTTAGTATTATGAAGGGTAAATTAGTAAATCAAAACTATTTTAATATAAATTTTAATTAGAAAAGTGTCTTTTTAGAATATTCTCAGCTGATTTAACTATTTGGACTTAAATTTATGTTTTCAAAATAGAAGGAAAATTTGTAATTAGGGCAAAATATGAGGAAGAGCAGAATATTTTACTCATCAATTTATTACTGTTTTTTCTGGACAAAAATTAATTGTTTCCTTATCTTGTATATTCTTTCCTTACCAAGATTTTCTTATTTTATTAACTTCTTAATTTCAAACTTACGCTGTGAAAACTAATTTGAGTGGAATTATTTATTCTGTTCAGTAAAAATATGTTCTTATTTTTTCTCGTCTCAATATATCTAAAAAAAATTATTTCACTTAAATTACTTACTTTGGTATTAGGCTAGCTATTGTAGCATTTTATAGTTCTCTTGTTTTTTAGTTAGTTATTTCTGTTTAGTGAACTTGAAATTTGAAGTTGAACTTTTATCAATCTCTTGAAAAATACTGTGGTACACGAGATCTATACTTACACATGTAAACATTCTTTCATGAAACTAAGCGTCGCAAATCAACAATAACTTCGTTTTCATTTTTTGCCAAAAGATTTTTATTTAATTATATTTTCTTTCAACAGGTATCATTCCCAAAGTTGGAGATATTAGAATTACACTTTATAAACAGTTTGATTCCACCAATATGGGATGGCAAACTTTCACGCAACTCATTTAGCAACTTGAAAACATTGACTGTGCGGTGGTGTCGCTTTGTGAAATTGGTACCGCATTATGTGCTGAAATCTTTAAACAACTTGGAAGAACTGGAAGTCATGGGGTGTAAAATGTTGGAGACGGTGTTTGATTTTGAAGATTTAAATGATTATAAAGAGATGGTGTCATCATCAGTGATTGTGCCATTGAAAAGGTTATCGCTGAATGATTTGCCAAAATTGAAGAATGTGTTGGGCAATTCTTCACTAGATGGTTCATGCCATCAAATAGAAGAACTTATGACGAAACAGAAAAAAGAGGACAATGAGGACAAGAAAATCATTTTTAGCAAACTGGAGTTTTTGGAACTTCATGGATTACCAAGATTGAAGAGATTTTGCAGCCAAAATTATACTTTCAAGTTTCCATTATTACAACGTGCCATTGTAATAGAATGCCCTCAACTCACAATATTCTGTTCTGGAGCCATTCATGCCCCGCTGCTTCAAAAGGTTCAAGTGACGACTCAGTATCAACCTCATCACGCAGATATTTGGATGGCTGCTCTTAATGCCACCATCCAACATCGGTTTACTAGTCAAGAGGTTAGTCCAACATACTGATATTCTTTTTTTTCTCTTTTTAAATAATTCCTCATCATCTACAAAATTTAGGTTCAGATAAATATCTGAGATAAATATTAAAGTTTGGACATTCCGTCGTCTACCCAAAAATTGTAAACTTTTCATCAAATTACAAGACCCTGATTGCATGCGAAAGCTGATAAGCAAATGATAATTAATGCATGTGGCAGACTGCAAATAGTGTGATAATGTTTGCAGATCTCTGACTGGAAAGAAATGGGCCTATAAAGTGATTCAAAGAATTTTGTTTCTGTTTGAAGTGATTTTGAGGAGGGGGGACTAATGATGAAAATTATAAGTATTAGAAAAAGATGATAGGTCAATTAAGAAAGATTTTATCTACAATTATATAAGAAATTATTATTTTAAAAAATATTCTGACCTGATGTTTTAGATTGTCTTCTTATAATAATAATTTTACCAATACTCATTTTACAAGTTATTTTCATAGTCAAAAAAGCCTAGCCTTAAATGTGAATTCGAAGGGGATTATGGGTTTTTTTTAATTTAATTTAGAGAAAAGAAAGGGGGTTATGGATTTTTTAAATTTTAATGTGTGGATCTTATTTCATGGTGAAATGATGAAAATTCAGATATTGGCAAAAGATGAGTGATCCATTTAAAAAGTTTTGATTCTTGAAAACAATATCCTGATGTAATCTACTAAATCGCCTACTCATTATGGTAATTGTTTTATTAATTATCATTTTATAGGTAATTTCCACAACTGGAAGCATGGCTTTAAATGCAGAGAATATCACAATGATAAGGGATGTCTTTCCTGAAGTGAGAACTCTTTATGTAGAAAGCTTCAAGGATGAAGGGGTAACCTTTCCCCATAGCTCCCTTGAAAGATTTCCCATGTTGAAAAAGCTTTATGTGGAGAATAGTTCCTTTGAGGAGATATTCCCCCCACAAGATGAGATTATCGATTTTATGGGGAAAATCCCACCATTTGAGGAATTACACATTGCCTATTTGGATCAACTCAAGAGCATATGGAAGGATGACTCTCAGCTACCACCAATTCATCAAGACCTAATAAAATGCCTGGAAGCTGAAAGTTGTCATAGCTTGGTCAAGTTGGCACCATCCTCTGCTTCATTTCAAAATTTGCGGTATCTATCTATATCTGGATGTCATCAACTCATCTATTTGATGACAAATTCAACTGCCAAAAGCTTGGTGAGGCTTCAATGGTTGGGGATAACCGATTGTAAAAAAATGGAGGAAATTGTATTGAATGAGAACAATGAAGGTGTAGAAGGTGGAATCACCCTCAATCGACTATGGTGGATTGAACTTACTGATATGCCAAGCTTGAAGATGTTCTCTTCACAAAGTCAGACATTTGAATTCCCTGAATTAGAAGAGGTAGAAATAACTGGATGTCCTGAAATGAAGATATTTTGTTCAGGATTGTTGAAAACACCAGAGTTGTCTAGAGTAAAAATAGAAGAGCATGAGATGGAGTGGAAGGATAAAGGGGACCTTAACAAAACAGTAGAAATGCTATCCTCAGCAAAGGTATGACATACCCACACTAACAAATATTTTTTCGGAAAATGTGTTGTCAACGGCCACGGAAATAGAAAATTGATTGTATCGTGCTCATGCCAACGACGTCTCTTTTCAAAATTGCCTTCTATTTTAGGCAGCTAATATTCTGATTTGTTATTGCAGGATAGTGTTAATATAGAAGGATAAGTCCATCATCCATGTTATCATTCTTTCCAGGTTCGTTACTTTTATGATTTTTGCTTATCGGCTGTTTTTTTTTCCTAGTGGTTATTATGATATCAATAAAAGCCTCATATATGAGGGGGACAAGCTTGAAAATAAAAACTTGCATCTCTTTTCTCTTTTTTATATACGCCAAATATTTTCTTTTCGTAATTATTTGTATGTTTTTGCTACATTTGTCTGTGCTTTACTATCACTAAAAGATATGAGTTGCTTGTTGATGTTTATTTCAATTTCTTTTCCAATAGTAGTTACTGTAATATCAACAAGTGCTCCATATTAAAGGATGAAAAGGGGAGCCATCTTTTGTGTTGTGCGTGCGTCTTTTTTTTTTTTTTTTTTAACTTTTTTATAAAATTTTCTTTGTTTCTGTACATTCTCTGTGTATAGTATCGGTTGAGTTAGTGAATTGCTTTTGCTTATTTTAAAGAGATCAACTGTGATTAAGAAGAAAAGAAATAGCTGGCGTATTTCAAAAAGGATGATTTGATAATTTGTTTACCCCAACTATTTAACCCATGTTTTCAACTAAATATGATATATATTTACAAAATAGAATGATAAAAATAGAGGGGCTGTTTTGTTTGTGTTTTTTTAATTTTTTTCTCAATAGTTTGATAAAATTATTTTTTAAAACAAGTTTTGAAAAAAATATACAAAACAAAAATCCATTTGGTTAATTGCTTCAAAAAACTGCATTTGACATAAACATACTGAGACTGGAAAGTGAAGTTTCAATGAGAACTCAAGTTTTTAAATGAGAAAAAGCCATCAAGCGGGGGGAAGAAAAAGTTTTTCCACTTTTTGCAAACAAAAACAAGAAAATAACTAAAAGTTGTTTTTGTTTTTGAGTTTTTAAAAATATTTCTGTTTTTTGGTTTTTAAAAACACTTAGTTAACAACAAATTACAAAACAAGCCTTTTTAATTTTTTTTAAAAACAAAAAAGGGCTTTCCAAATAAGAAAACAAAGAAGGTTTTTTGACGCATTGACTACAAAATGAACTATATTTGATAACATGAATATATGTAGAATACACTCAATAGCCTTGTTCGTTTCCTTGCTGGATTAATGCAGGCGGCTGATCCAAAGTGTGGACTCCAAAATCATTGACTACAAGATGATGAATATGGACAGACACTTGTGCAGTGATGCTTTTGTTAAATTCTCAATTATTTGAGAAATGAGACTCTATTTTTATCATAAACAATTATTTGTTTCATTAATGTATGAAAGACTCAGAAATTGGTGTTATGATTGTGAAGCTTTCATTCAACATCTATGTGGTTTGCTTAATTGTGTTATAAAGATTATTAATTAGTTCAATGAGATTGGTCACAATTGACCATGGAGTTCTTGATAATTCTATGAAACAATATTCATTTTTATGATCTGTGAAGGCACAGAAGAACAATAAATGAAATTAGATATAAGATTTATGTCCATCGATTACATTGTGTAATTGACTAGGACTTAACTGCAACAAGCTAGATAAGAGATAAGTTATTTTTTCACACCAATTTAAAGATTTAATTAAATCATGCCAATCTATCTATTACGGGTAAGCAATAATGAAAATAACTCTACTAGGTCAATATTAAACTGTTAGCTAGAATGAATGAAATATCTAGCATTTAAATTCACCATATTTTACTTTCTTGATATCAGTTAACAAAATTACTCCCTGATGTCCTTTGTTTTATCTTTCGCTTTAATGAAAAAAAGTCATTTATCACACTGACAACTAAAAAACAAAACATCATTTTAATGAAAAAAAGTCACTTATATACTCTCTCACATGTATTAAGAATTATCCAAAAAAAAAAAAGAAAGCTTATACGCAGACCACTATAAAGCGAATCAGTGGTGCATTTTACCGTCGCAAGCAACTGAAATGACAATCCTACTCGAAATCCTGATTCAGCGTGCTCGTAAAGAAAGTTAAACAAAATAAAACCAACCATTTAGCTGACTGAAATCGTGCAGTGATAACCACAACACTATTCCTTTCCACCTTTCATGATATATAGAATGGTGACTTAGCAAAACTTACTGAATAGACAAACATTTTTGTCGACGGCAATCTAAAGGACTTCAAAATGGTTGGAGGTATTAGTTTGACAGACCAAAATGAGTGTGGCTCATCACCTTCTTTCCATCCTTTCAGTTGACCTTCTCTCCTCTGCCTCTCGTCGTTTTTGCTGCCTGTCCAACATTACAACAATGGTCATAGTATCAAACACATCTCATTCTAGAATACATAAAGAATTCTAGAATACATAAAGAAGCTCAAAGTTATTCACAATCTCACGCAAAATGCATGTACCCATCACCAGCATTAGCAGTAAAATTGCAGCGTGAGCGGGCACAGAATCCTGCCCCACAAAGGGCAGAGGATTTTTCTGATCCCCATCCACCTAAGCAGGATTATTATTCATTGAAATAGTGTAAAAATTTGAAGCAAATTGCACGTGTTGGTGCATTTGTTTAAATGAATTCCTCGTCCCATTTTGATTTTTTGTCCAGCCTACCATCACGATTGGTGGCCTCAGCAGTAGGAGGCATCAAAGGCAAACCACCTGAAGAGAGAAGAGAGAAAATCAGCATAAAATAGAAAATGCGTAGTAAGAATAACCTTTGCCATACCATAGATAGACTAGGTTGCTTTATACCTGCAACAGGTACATTGATCCTTGGAACACCAGTTACAATTCCTGGTTGTGCTCCCCTAGAGACAAATTCAACTTTCTGGGCTTTCTTCTCGAGCTCTTTCTTGTCACTTCCACGTCTCATATCTGCCTATGTGACAGTTAGGGGTGGTAAAGCAACATCAGTATCAAGTACTTAAAGGGAGCTTGACTGCAAGAACAATCCGTCCCTATGACTTGATGGTGCTGAGAAAAATATGAACAAATAACAAAATATGGCAAGACAAATAAGTTGGTTCAATTCACAATGAAAACTTAAATTAGACTAGTATTTAACTTCTAAAATCATGACCAACATATTCATAAAAAATATAGAAAGAACCCCAAAGCAGATATAACTAGCCATACACAGCTGTATAGATTTTGGTTGTCCATTTCAACGTAAATAATATTATCAAAAGGACTTTTGAAGAGAAAAAGCACAATCCAACGGCAAAACATAATTTCAATATCAGGTTAGAAGACAAACTAGTTCTTTAATATTAGATATCAAGTCCGTCCGTTGTTAGTATAGTGAACAATAATAGCATAAACAGCCCCAAATACCAGCGACCAACATATCTAGAATATGACATTAATGTTTGCAAGAACACACAAGAAGTATCATATAATTGACAAAATCAGGTAAAATATGAGCATAAAGTACAAGGAAGCACAAGAAAGTAGATGCAGAGAAGAAACAATTAAGCACCTATTGGTCGTAGTAGTCACTTGGGTCAAAAACTATGAGGGTCCAATACATCCTTATCAAAGCAAGATCCTATTTGGTCAATAGCTTGACACCTCACAGCATGCAACAGGAAGTCAGGGTTCCGATAGTCCTTCCTATTGCGAACTGCTGCATTAAAACTTTTTCCAGCCTTCTTATACTCAAGAAATTTATTTATCTTTCTCGCTATAATAATAAAAATCATAGCACGTTGTCATGACTCATGAAGAACATCAATGTGCAAAAGCTAAAAATTTTTATACAATTTTCTACTTTATCAAAAATTGAGGAAATTAAAATATCTGGAAGCTAAAAGTACCTGAAAGAATCAAAATGTTCATGTGGCACGCCTGCCACTACCGTCTTCCAACACAAGTCCTCAACGAGTAAATGGACTGGAAGCAATAACATTTGCAAAATCTGTGAGATACATGAAGAGACCAGTTACACGTACTACGTGACTGTCGAGCTGCCAAGCTCCTATGGAGGAAGTTAGTGCCAAGAGATCAATGAAAAAATTCACTACTGGAAACTGAAAGAATGGTTCAACCACAACATGAGAAAACAAGCTATGGGGCTTAAGGAGGTGCGCTGGCCAGAATTATTTGCTGCAGGGTGTTGGCATCTATGGAAATGGAGAAATGCCTTTACACATAAGAGAGTGGAGATACCCATGGAATGGAGCCGAAGTGGTCAAGAAGCATCTTGAGAATTTTAGACAACGCTGGGAACCGGTGGGAACCCAAGAAACCAAGAGAAGATCATTATGGTGGGATGGAAAACCCCGGAGAAGGCTGGTGTAAAATCAATGTTGATGGAATGCACTCAAAACAGGGGACTCGGGCTGTGGGGGAGTAATTAGGGGCGATTGTGGAGAATGGTTGAGAGGATTTGCAATGAAATGAGAGAGATGTCACGAGCACGGAGCTATGGGGATTATTGAAGGATTACGACTATGCTGGAATTGGATTTGAAAAAGTCATTGTGGAGAGTGATGCAGAAAAATTAGTGAACGACATCAACAGTGAGAGGCTGGTAAACTATAACCAGCTGCTAGCCCTGAAGATCAGGGATTGATAAATAGAGACTGGACAGTGAAGATCAAGCATAGCTACAGGGAGAGCAATCGCTGCGCGACAAGCTTGCTTCTCTCAGTGGAAAAATCGAACGTGAGGCAAGAATGGGCCACGCCACCCGTGAAGTGATTGAAACTCTGCAGGAAGATAGTGCTGGAGTGGAATTTCCTAGAAGAGTCTACGTGTAATCTGTGTTGTTTTCCTTGTATCACCAAAAAAAAAAAAAAAAATTGAGGAAAATTATTTTTTATTAAAACTATTACTTAAATTGCCAAATTGCCAGTGTACTAATAAGGAGTAAAGTGAAGATCATTCAACTTCCTGTGTACAGAACATCAAGAAGGGGGGAAAATATAATAATATAAGGTGTATTCAATAAAACAGAGTTTTAGTGGTCAAAAAACTTGATACGAGAAGTATTGGCAAATTATCACTTTTTTCATAATTCAATGATTTAATCACAGAATTAGT